GCAGCACACAGTGTCGGATGGTGGTCAGCGGCACATCTGGTCTGACACTAGCACTGGCACAAAGATGAGCAACAATATGAATTGGTCGGACGGAACGATGCAACAGTCACACCAACAGCAGCAACAACAATCGCAACAGAAGACTCCCCAGCAGCAGCAGCAGCAGCAGCAGACCATGCAGAGCAGCAATAGCATGAAGGCGCAAGAACAGCAGCAAAGCATGCAAATGCAGGCACAACAAGAGTTACCTAGGCCAGCCAGTCACATGAGTTGGGAGAACGGTAGCGTGAAAGAGTCCCAGACGCCTCAGCCGTGGTCAGACAACACGGAGAGCCAGCAGCAGCAACAGCCGCAGACTCAAGGGAACTGGTCTCGGCAGAGTCCAAAGCTGAGGGACGGCCAAAATCCGAGATTGACACCCTCTAGTCAACAGCAGACGCAGCACCAGGCCTGGCTGCAGCATTCACCTAAACTGTCGGACCACCAGCAGAATCCGCCCCACCAGAACGCCAGGATGACGCCATCCAGCCAGCAACATAGCTGGCAGCAAAGCAGCCCGGAATTGCAGCAGAACACGAGTCAACAGAATCCGAGGTTAACGCCGTCCGGTCCGCAGATGTCTCAGCAGCAACAGCAGTCGCAGACACAGCAACAACAGCAGCAACAACAGTGGCCACAACAGACGAAGATCGAGAAGAATCCCAGGCTGACGCCGTCTAATCAGATGTCCTGGCCAGACACGCCCACTAGTCAACCGAATTGGTCGCCAAACAGCATAAAGAGCGACGGCAGTCAACAGCCGCAGCAACAGTGGCCCGATTCTCAACCGAGTCCGAGGCGGACGCCCGGACATCAGCCTGCTGCGTGGCAACCTCAGCCACCCCAGCAGGACAACAAAATGGAAAACCAGATGTCCTGGTCGCCTAGCTCAGTCACGGAGAACCAGCCGACCTGGGGCCAACAGGCGACCAAACAAGACATGCAGAACTCTGGGGAAAGAGTATTGTGGCAGCAACAGCAACAGCAGCAGGCCACAGACACAGGCAAACCGAACGGTTTCCCAGATAACCAAGATGCTCAGGAGAATAACGTATTTGCTCAATCTAATCGCGTTAACTTAAACAGCCGACTGAAATCGATGATACT